TACCAATGACTCACTCGAATTAGGCAAAACTAACACCAGAGCAGTCGTCGATCTTTTCTTTAGTTCTACAAAATTTTCTTCACATGCAACATCCCATACTTGGAATGATGAACGACTATACATTTTAATGTTGAACATCTAATTTCTCAACTTATTCGTCAACAACATATTATGCTTGACCTCGTCTCGAACAACTGCAATAATAATCATTTATGCCCAAAAAGCTTCTAGTTCCGTACCCGACTTCAGAGTCCCTCCATATGGGAATGTATCAACCATATTTGAAAAAACTTTCATATGATAGAATATGTTTCTATCTCCTCATAGGTTCAAACGGAACGCCAATCCGATATTCGGAACACAAGATATGAATTTCCAAGGTTATCCGAAAATGCGAACATCGACGTCATACAGCGGCATACTATTATACATCTTAAGATAACATCATAACTGAATTTCTTTGCACCAGAACCAACACCTTCCATTATTATTTCTTGAAATCATACTCATCACCTCGCATTTCCAACTCTGACTCGCGATTCAAAACATTCCAACAACTTCAACAACTTTTACAATCACTTACAAGGATTCCACGACACGGTCTACAACAATCTGTCACTCTATCACCATTCAACCGTCGACATCTTATGCAAGGGCTACTCAAACCAACAACTTCACAGACCACCAGTAGCGCTGAAACCTGGTAACTTTCTAAATTCCATCTTCTAAAAATTATCCTTGTTACTTAACAATCACCTTCAGAAATATTAGGGATTTACACTCTACTCATCTGTCAACAACCATTACATTGCTCCTCATCCTTCGAGAAATAGACATCAACAATGTATGATCGTCCTCCCTCAAGACACTCCAACTTGATTAACAAACAAAATCTTGAATCCATGTCATCTTCGGATTCGGGGAACAATAAAACTTCAACAATTCTTGCAATGTCGCCATCAGCAGGATACTGAACTAACATCTTACAACCGGAACATATCTGAGAAGCAAAGATTCTCCCCCACTTATCTTCAAACCAACTCCTGCATACAAGCAATTAGAAAAGCAAGTGAGCATCGACAGTGTTTCACACACTTGTCGATTACAAAGGAATAAACAACATTAGACAACTTGGTCGGACGGACTGACCTGCTCTGATACCACTAATGTAACACCCCAATTCTACCCAGTGGATAATAATAAAATCAGAGTTCAACATGAATTGGATGCTACATTTACAACTTAAAATCAAACTTCATTTAATTGCATATAAAATAAATACATAACACTTAATTCGGACGAACTGATAACATCCTGATTTATTCTTTAAAATCAAACAACTTTTTATTGATAAGCAACGAAATTTACATACTCAACTTCAATTCACTTAACATCTTTTATTCAACTAAAACAACTTTAAGACAACAATTATTTCACGTAAACATTCGAACAAACGAGGTAACAATTGTCCTTCTTGATTACCTGAACGTTACTAACATAGGGCAACATTCGAACAAAAGGGGTGAGATATAGAACTATATAAGTGGGCGTATGATAAACAATATGTTAGATCAAATCACATAAAATCACCACTTCACAAATTACAAACAACTTTAATCACAACTAAACATCGACACGACATAACGACTAATTCATAACTTTTAGATAATACATGTCACAACAAGTCAACAATATAAAGAAACAACAAATATATCATCACCACAACTCAAGATGAAACATCAAATGCGACTCAATTACAATGCACATGCATGTGGTACCACTGGAGCAGAACTCCCATCTTAAAAATCTGCCAATAACAGAGTATGCAAATGTATGTGACTCAACAAATGCATTATCACATACTCACAATAATCATCATCCATCGCAAGGCATAAGCCCATATCACAATTATTACCAGTAAATAGAGGTAATTCATCACCATTTAAAATTCCTTGCAACTTCACATTATCAACAAGAATTCACAACGACAATCATAACAACACAACAACTCAACATAAATCAACATTGCCCATAAGCTTACCACATCAATCAATGATTCAACATCAACTCAACATAATTCAACTTTGGCCATAGGCCTACAACTTGATATTTCAACAATAAAAATTAACACAATGTTAGCATAAGCCTACAACTTAGTACGTCACAACAACAATAGTAATTTGACAACAACATCAACAAGAAAACAACATTGTCCATAAGCCTAACAATTCAATACCACCTGAAATTCATATTTTTCAGCAAAGTATACAATACATTGCATCAACCAAAATATACTACAAACGCTCCACAAATTTGTTCGGACAATTAGACTATTTCCGGTTAATTAATCTTTCGCTAAATTACCAACATTTTCTACTCTGCACTACTCTTATTAAGTCTATACAGTTACTGCTGGTATAGGTACTACCTATTACTAATATCTCACTGCCAAACTAGTACCATTACTCTCTGTTATTAAAAATATTATTTGTTATCAACATACACTACCTGTTATCCACTTAATAAATTACTATTAGTTACTACATTGATCTTCTGGCAATTATTCTACTAATTACTTCTACCGGTAATTCTCTGCTAAATTATTGCATCTGTTATTAATATACTACTCTGCTAAATTAATTGAACCATCCTCTACTACTTAGCATCTTTGTGCAAATTTAATTTCTGGAACACCATTGTTATTAACTTTGCTGCTACTGCTACTCTAGATACCAACTAAGTGTTAATCTAACAATTACCTCTGCTAGGTACAAACAAATCTGCTACTTGGTTTAAATTAAAGTAATGGGATACTACTATAATTAATTAATCTAATTCTGCAACTTATTAAATCCATCTCTTTTAAATATTGATTTCCATAAATTAATCCTACTGACAACTCTACTATATACTGTTACCAAAAATGTCTCTGCTAATTCATACTAATACTAATACATGAAGGCTCCACTACAACAGCAAGAAACAAAACAACCAAAATAAAATTGAGGCAACATGTGCCCCTCGACACCATTGTCCTGCCGATCGACATGCTCCCTCTTTCAACATTGTGCCAGTCGGCACTCATGTCATGCCCCTCGGCATGTATGTTTTCCAGCCTCCCAGTTTGTTACTGATTACTAACGTATAATTTTCAGTTTCAGGCCAACCACATAGAACCACACAACAACATAATAACTATATCAACATATAATAATTTCCAACAACAAATTTATCGATTGATTCACTGCAAATTCCTCGAAAAATCTGATTGTGGTAACACCAACTCATAACAACAACAATTACACATACAATAACATTTCCACAATGATAATTTTATACAAACCAATCCCTGCATAATATTTATCATATACCCTTTTATAGAGTCAGAACCCCACCCTTACCTTGGATTGGAGATCGCTCTATTCTACCAGTTAAAGCCTCTCGCCCTAGCTTCCAACCTTTGCCTCTTCTCTGTAACTTTTAGGCTTCTCATGTACCAAATTATCCAAGACTTGTTCAATTAACCTAATTCCTCATAATTACTTAACCTTATAATTATTAATATTCTTATTGGGCCTAACTTTCATACCCCACCTATTACTCCATACAACCAAATAATGAGTCCAACTAATAAACCTTATATTATTCTAATATCTATATTAATGTTATTGCTAACATTAATCAACCAATCAATTAAATATCAACCAAATAATAACTTAGCAACTTAAATCAACATTTCTCGATATTTCGCAACTTCAACAATATCAACAACATTTTCAACCATTAATCCATAATTAATTTAATTAAATTAACGGGCATTACAGATTGTGAAACCCTTTTTTCACTTGACGACTCGATGACAAGAGTAGGCACAACTCCGAAGCATCATGGTGCGTCACAAGCTAAGGATGACACGGACGAAATGCGGGGGTTGATTGCGAACCCTTTCCACTCATCCCTTTTGAGGACTTCAATAAGGGATAGAGGAATAGATGCAAGCACAAACGTAAACACACGTGCAAAATACCTACTTCAAAGGTAGGATTTTAAACAAACATAGATAACATACAGAAAGCGGTGCCTGCTACAGGACTTTAAACAACGACTTTGAGTGCACGCTCTTTATTTCCTACTTCTCATGATATCTAGAAAGCAGTAAAGTGCTGAAATATAAACTGGAAGTAGCATAATACCGAACGAATAATAATGCCCTCAAAAAGCACAACCGAAGCAATGAAACCAGGAATACTTCCTGCAAGCTTCACCAAGCAAACTGAAAAAAGAGTTAGAAATCAAATGCTCGGAATAAACGTCAAAGCATCATCGATGTGAAAATAAATCACAATCGAAAACTTAAGTATATCCGCATATCAAACAATGAACCTGCATAAGACTCAAATCTCGACAAGCAAAAAGTGAATCACGAATCTCAAGTAATCAGATAATCATGACTTAGTTTCTATAATCAAATAAAAAATTCTAAATTTTTTTTATTGATTTAGTAATTTTTTATCATAGAAAAATATAGAAAAAATTAAGAGAAAATCCTAAATCCAATAAGAAGAAAGAAAGACCAGGGGAGTGCAAAGTTAACACAGGGCGTGTATGGATCTAAAAAACATCTAAGCCCAAATCTACAATTAATCTATAACCATATTTTTATGCAAGTAACATTAGGACTTTAAAAAAAAAGGGTGCATCGTGGGCCTAATGAGGATGTGACTCGGTTCAACAAGCATGGTCCACATATCCTAAATCAAATCAACTTGTTCATTTTCTGTCCAGATTTAATTCATTTTTAGTTATCTAAAACTAAAATAAAAATGTAAAAAAGAAATAAACAAATAGAATTGAATTTGGGTTAGCGTTAAAGAATCGAGTCTTTTCAACTTCTCACAAAAATATGACTCCATCTTTATCTCTCAAACAAAACGCGACGCTCTCTTCTCTTTTCTTACAGACAGCGCTGAACTCCTCACCACCACCGTCATAACCACTGCCTAACAACCTTCCTCCGTATCTCCGTCAATGTGAACAACCACAATCCACCTTACACAACAATCTAGATCCGACAATGGTTTTTTAAGAACTGTGCAATTAAACGCTCTAATTGCGAATACAACGCAAAGCCTCAAACCTATTGTTAGATCACGAACCTCTTTGCATTCTTTTAGTGAATTTTGAACCGAGGCCTGGCTTGTATTTTGTGCAGAGCTATTCATTTGTTCCGATCTTCTTCTGTTATCCTTCGGTTCTTCGCACAAAGCAGGTTTTTTATTGATGTGTGTAGGGGCTGTTTTATGAACCGATTTTAGCTTGAATTGTGACTGGCTTATGTATGTTTATGCAGCGAAAATTGTGCATAACTGGTTGAAAGCTCAGTCATGAAGAGTTTGAAGCATGGTTTAAAGAAATGGAATCATGATGCAGTATAGTGAAGATTCAATAACATGAGATATAAGGAGAATGGCATAATTTAGGCTTAGGATGTACTTTTGATGTAAAACCTTGACTTTCCATGAAGTGTATTTTCCTTTTTTTGAATTTGAAATTCTAAACTTCTTTGTCTTAAAACCAAAATTCCATGAGCTTGCTATAGTGAACTTTTTCTAATTCATCAGGAATCTCGAATAACATCCATAGACAAAATCTTGAATGATGCGTATTTGAACGAACGTTATGATCAAGAAACGATCCATAAACAATCCTTCCAGTCTTGTATGCTTAAAAAACTGAACCTTAGCCTCACTTATCTTGCAAATCGAATGACCAACGACCTTAGTCCACAGCTTGACCGAACAAGGAACATATCCAAACAATCCTCAACCGAAATAAACTCCCATAGGAAGAATGCCTTGCTCACGAAGAATCCATAACTTCACATCGTATGTCATAATTCATGTCTTTGCATTTTACACCATGAAGACATTCTGGCTTGATAACCAATAACCTTGCAAAGAAATTAAAGCCCCGAGGAACAAATTGAAGATGAATGATAAGACTCAAAGTATCGAATCCAATGACCTTCAGTTGAAATGTTGGCAAACTCAACCACCCTGGGTAAAAACCCTAATCAACGGATAAGTATCATAATGAGAAAAGATATCGATTCAATCCTCTAAACTTCTTGAAAAGAATATGTTGTGGTGAAAACAATTAGGAGGAAACCCCAATTCTCTTGATTTGGATGCACAATGATAAGGAGATGACTTGAGGTATTGAGAGGAATTGAAACCCTGGCTTCAGAACATTCTCAATGAAGACATGACGAAATCTTGAGCACACGGTAAACCCTAAAGCACTTTTTTCAAAGAAATTCGGATGAAGACAACCTTATATCTCGAGGAACCCTGCTAGTGAAGATGTTTATAATGCTTGTGATCCAAAACCCTAGTTTTATACCAAGTGTTGTACCCCAAAATTTTCTCTCCCATATTCTTCAAGATTTGCAAAGAACATGCTTCAAAAGCTCTCAAGGGTTGCACAGTTCAATGGCCTCCTAACAGTCAAAAATTAGGGTTTTGATTCTAGCAAAGAAATTGAAGTTTTCAAGGGTCCAATCAAGTCCCACATGCCTACAAACATGGTCAAGCATCCATATGCCAAGTTTCAAGACTTACAGCACAAAATTGCACAGTCAAAAACCCTAATTGCTCAACAGTCATCTGTAGGGGCAAAATGGTCATTTGACAGTCAAAAGTCTAAATTTTTGGTCAACATCTTATTTTGAAGCCACAAACATCATTTGATCAATTCTTGATCATGATTTTCAAGGCATGGCTCAAAAAGTCTCAAGATGCAAAAGTTTCCATATTTGGACAGTTGAAAAAGTCAACTGTAAATTGACCAGGGCATAACTTCCACATGGTTTATCAGAAAAATTCCATCCAAAGATCATTTTGAAGAGAAAGATATTTCCTAAAACTCCTCTTCACACTTCAAGTCCAATAAATTCTCTCACAAAAAGTTATCAATCTCAACATTATAGGTCATTTTCAAAAGTCAACAAAAAGGCACTTTAAGTCAAAGACCATAACTTGATGTTGGTAAATCAAAATGACATGGGACCAAAGGCATTGGTTAGAGGACTTCAAGACCTTTCCAAAATGTCCAAGAACATGATCAAAGCTTAAAAATTGAGCAAGATATGCCTTGTGGAAGTTGGGAAATTTTTGGGAAATTTGAAAAGTCAACTTTACTTCAAATGCCTCAAAATTGCTAATGGGCCTCAATTTCTTCCAAGAATCATCACCCAAAAGCTATGCACGACCCATTGACCCAAAGGGGAGTTATTTTCCTATTTTTAATTAATTAATTGAATATTTAATCTATTTAATTCATTTAATTAAAATTAATTATAAGAAAAATGCTAAACACATGTTTCCAAATCTTTTTATGCAACATATGCCCTCTTTAATCACTCAAGATTTCGTGCATCACTAAAAAGGCAAGATTTCTCATGATTGACAATGGTTGTACATGAAAAAAGATTGGAAAAGATTACATTAAAAACCAAATATTTGATTCATGAATGCAAAGGTTTTTGGTTTGGATTTTTACCCTAATTCATTCCATATATAAGCACAAACCTAAACCTAATGCACAGAACCTGGAAGCTGCGCCTCAAACCAAAGCATAACTTTGCATTTTTTCCAAATTTTCTCAAAACTGATTTCATAGCTAGAGTGTTCTTCAAGGCCAAAAAAGGATTCCAAAGGCTTGCTGAGACATTTTTGGATGTGCCTCAATCACTTTCCACTCTCCATACATAAAGAATTGGTAAAACAGAGTTGCTTCTCTTTCAAAGTTATGCATAATCGTGTTTGGATTTCTGGACATCTTTCATACGTTTAAACTATTGTTTTATACTAACATGGACATGCTGAATCTATTGGTGCTATTTAATTGAATTATCATTGCCTGTATGCAAATCTACCATGGGAGCTCGTTAGGGTTTCAGGAACTTTAAAAGAGGGTTTCGTTCCTCTGGAAAAATTAGGCTATAAGACCAGCACCATTGGATTCATAACCTTCATACGAACACAACGACCACATCGCGCCCTTTTTATATCCTTGTATGGCCTAATCGCTATTTTCCAGGTTCAGGTTTAGTGGGGGTTTAAAACCCCCGCTATCTATCTCATGTTTTCAGGTAACACGAAGAAGAAGGAGGACGTGTCTCAGCCAGAGTGAACGGTTTGAATTTAGCGCGTTTTTCAAGCTACAAGCGCTGTCTCACATATCTTATTCAGCATCCATTATAATATCAAAGTGGCTCAGTAGCGCAGTTGGTAAACACGCTGGCAAGCAGGTATTGGGACCTGGGTTCGATCCCCAGGTCCCCCATATTTTCTTCTATTTTTTCTTGTAATATGATCAGGTACACTGACTTTCCTATAGCCCACCAAACATCCAGCGCTGGTGCTTGCCACATGTCCCCTGAGATCAATCCAAAAGCCAAGATATGAGTTCCATCATGCACCTCAGTCCAGGGGTCTGCACGTGACCATCAAAAGTCAACCAAGCCTGATTCAATGGGCCAAAATTGCTTGGAAAATACCTCCAACTTTGGGTCAACACCCCTCTTGTTTGTATCTCTTTCCCTCTTTCTTTTTTTTCTTTCTTTTCATTTTATTTGTTTTAATTATCTTCTTTTAATTCATAAAATTAATTTTAATAATATAAAAATACCAAAAAATCAGAAAGTAAAAAATAAAAATATATTTTATTATTTAATTCACTAATGTTTTATTTTGTAAATAAATTTTGTTAATTAATTTAGTTTTAATTTTAGGTTTAATTTCAATGTTTTTTTAAACTAAAAAATGTAGAAATTAGGGTTTTTGTACTTTTATTCTTTTTTTTTTCCTTTTTCACCATATTTAATTATTAATTATTTTTTGTAAATAAATATGCCATGTAAATAATTAATGAAAATTAGGTCAAACTTGAATTTATTTCTTTAATAATTAAAAATAGTTTAGAATTAGGGTTTTAATTCCATTTAATTTTCTCATTAAATTCCATAAATACAAAAAATCCAAAAAATAAGTTCTTGCTTTTATTTAATTTAATTAATTTAATAATTTCAATTTAATTTCTTTAAAAGGGTCCAACGCCCTCGCATCCTCGATTTTATTTCTTTTCGCTCATTTACTTTTATTTCCTTTTTTAGGTTTAATGTAATTGCCCCAAAGCTTTGTAATAGATTAATTAGGACATTTACTTTCCGCACTCTTTATTCAAAATCGGGCCTTTGTTAATTTGGTGATGTAGACCCGCGCCTTGTAATAGCGTAGGACCCTTATTTTCCGCATTTTTATTTCCGCACCTTTTAACTGTTAATAATTTGCCTGAAAGAATGAATGCCAAATAAAAACAAAGCGTAGATCACCAATGCATGAACAAGACAAATATAACTGAAAATGACACACAATTCACACACCACCCCTAGGGTACGCATCACTGTTGCCTTGCCCCTTGAAACGTGGTCGTCGAGTAGAGGATGTTTTAGTAAGTCCTCATGTCCATGAACATGGCATGAGGGTAGCTTCTAAGGTGTCTTTCTATTTCTCTGGTGATCACAATGTCCCGAACCCTCGAATTGACCCGAACACCTCCAACGGTGGTGCTACCTACCTCTCAATGGTGGGATGGCACTATCTTAAGGACATTTACACAGATTAATTCCTTAGGGTAGGTAGATGACTCGTAGATGCTTGCTCTAATTCAAAACAAATCAAAAACTTCTTTTCACACCGACACTTTGCAGAAAGCTTTCAAAAACAACTTTTCAAACACTCTTGAGGACTGATACAAGAGTCGAACTGAAATTTTAAACGAAACTTTTTTTAAAACCCACAGTTGAAAAGCAAACAAACATTTTGAAAACACAAGAGAGCAAGTATCTAAGAGCCCATGGATAACCATGGATAGAAAGGGTGCTAACACCTTCCCTTTCTATAAATCTACCTCCCGAACCTAGAGCAATCTTAATAAGGAATTTTTCTGTGCTTTTGTCCTTTCCATTTGGAGAAAATAAAAGACGGTGGCGACTCTTGCTTCCGCGACATTTCGCGAAACCAACATTAAACAGTCAGTTCCAGATCCACCGATCACAGAACTGGCGACTCTGCTGGGGAACTTTATAAAGTGAGGTGTACCTTAGGATAGTTCATAACTGTGTTTTCAATTGTTTTGACTTGTTTGCTTTAAATTGTGG